GAATTTGTAATTCCATTCTCACCCATTAAAAAAAAAACGCGAATTATTTAATGGTTAATAAAGTATTTCCTTTACAATCGAAGTGTGCACTTAACGCGAAAGTTTAATAGTAACTAGATAAAGAGTATGGTCCATAAAAACCTTACAATTTTAGTGGTATTCAATAAAACTTTGTACCTTTCCTATGCCAGCTACAAATCCAATTAGTGTTGGGCAAAAGTTCTCGGTGGATTTTGGCGGCCCTCCAATTGTTTCAATCGGCTATCGCCATCCCAGAGAACTTTACGTCCACCGCTGGTTCATTGCCACTAATTTAGTTTGGTGCCGTGAGACGAAAGACAATTGCACACTGATTACTAGGTACCGTTGTACAGAGAGAGAGGGGTTGGAATTGTTCTATATCCGGTTACATTGTTTTAGTTCCTACGAACTTGAATGTTTACAATTTATAAAATTATATGGAATATTTATTATATCAGTTTACATTACTAAACTTTGGGATTATTTAAATACTTTTTTTAGATTATATGTAAAATAAAATCTATTTCATTTTAGTTGTAAATTACATGTTTAAGTTTTGGTTTTAAAATGAATTCTTGAAATATTAGATGACTTATTACTCGTAATTATAATATGATAACACATACAACACAGCAATCGACAAATACATATACATATTACACATATCCGATACGTAGCATATATCTCTTTTTTTAAGTATATAATGTACTACTTGAATAATGATATATAATCCACTAAATGTTAATCTTAAGACTTTCTCGTTACGTAAGATGAGAACCATTCGGGATTATTCCTTGCCACAAAAACGAACTATCGTTTCGCTGAACAGTTTATCGAAAACCGATACGGGACGGAGCGTCGCCTAACTAAGATTCTAGCTGCCACAGAAATCAAAATATAGACGATAAGACGTTATTATTTGTTATGTACTGGAAGTTTTTACTATACTTAATTTATAAGAGAAAAGTGTCATGGTCTGTGTTTACATTATTTTTCATAACTGTTCAACCGATGTAAATAAAATGCTGTACATATATTTTGTATACACTAAACTCAGTATGATTTTTATTCTGATAAGAAGAAATGAAACCGGGAGATGGCACTAAGGAGTTATCGCCATCTACCGCGTCCATTTTATCTTTCATGGCAAACATTTTTCCTCCAAAACAATGTTAGTTAGTTAAACAGTCTCAGTTAGTTAACATATCTAATAGTTTATCAAAAATTTAAGCCGTTTTAATAATTAGTCAAGAATCAGAATGAGTGACTACGTTCAATTATGAAATTAATTATGTTTGACTATCACTTTTGATCTCTATCTATCTATAACTCATAAATAGACTAATTCTGAAATGTAAAATTTTGATGTTGTGTGTATTCATGTAAATCCGTGTATTATATGAATACTATAATTATATTTGAGTTTCATACATGGAAAATCCTATTTTTAATTCTTGCATTATGTAGTAGTTATTTACCAAAATATAAATATATCTTAAATGTTTTATCGAAAACATAAGTGAATTATAGTCAGTGGAGTCAGCAAAAGAGCATTAAAACTGACATCAATTTGAGTAATTATATTGTAAACTCTATTCAATAATTAAAATTGGTTAGTAATGTGTATTATTAACACCGTTATTTTTAAATGTACTGTATTTGATAACGGAGAAGTAATCCAATAGTTATCGCTTCTTTTCATTCCAATAATGACATAAGAAACAACAAAATACAATACACCAGGGTGTCCGGGAAGAGATACGTACCTAGAAGTGGAATGTTAATGGATTATAAGGGACACCAATATAATTAAACAACAAATATTAAAACATTAGAACTTAATCTTAGAAACGGTAATGCATCGACGGTGAAGTAGGTGTCATAATACATATTGTAATTTGCATGGTGCTGTTCATGTCTATGGGGGACGGTTATCACTTTCCTTCAGGTGGGCTTCAAGTTTTATAAAAAGCTCGTATATAACCTGTCAAGAAAACAAACATTTATCCCTAAATTACTTTCTAGGTATTAAGAATGATGATTTGTTTTAAGATGGTGAAAAGATTTCATGACTCCACAGATAGAATTTAGAATTTACAAGAAAATTGCATTCCGTGAAAATTAAATTGTAATCCCATTTCCCAGGAATGCTACTGAACAAGTTAAATAATGGTATTGTATTAACAAAGAAAATATTTAGACAAGATTACGAAGTATCGTATATTTATATGTTTCTATTTATAGACAATCGAATGATATAGTAACACGTTGTTGATATTTTATATATAATAAGTTTTTCACTGTAATTCTTTATTGTTTTTGTGAGAACAATATCTAGGTTATACTTAATTGTATGTTTTTTTTAAATAATAATAAAATCATTATCATCATCAAATTAGCTCTTAATTATCCACTGCTGAACATAAGCCTCGTCGGGGGGTTTTGCCAATACCTGCAATGCTTGACAGGTGGATTGGCAACCGCAGTCAGGTTTTAGAGATGTTTTAAGTGACGCTACTGCTCATCCCTCGCCGTCTCTTAGTAGTTTTTACGACACCCATGGGAATGGAAGGGGTGGCCTATTCTATGCCAAGATCACACGGTCAATAATAATAAAATAGATTAACTAAATACAAACTGATAGGATTCTATTGATATGATTAGAGAAACAAATTTCTTATGATTATCTAATTTTTTAATCGTTAACTAATTTGATTTCTATTAGTAATATTACTATTATGTAATTGTAGTTACATATATTACTATCCTAATTATCTTGTTTTATTTGAATAGTTATATAACAACATTAGGTACGTACGTACGTACGTAGTATTTTACTTGCTTTAGTACCGTGACGTTGCCTCTCTGATGTAGGCTTGACATTTGAGTGATTTAATGATAATAGATACCTACGAGTACATTTGAAATAAAACGTACAAGCAAAATTGTAAAAATGGTTCAAATTTTAATCTTAGAACATAATTTCGCGGCTCACGCATGCGGAACTCTGAATTGCCTGTTCCTGTGAGAATTTCCAAAGCAAATTTTCTTTTGTTAATGGATTTTTAGTTTATACAGGGAATCTTAAGCACAATTTTATGTTTTAGACCGAGTAATATTCATTACTGCTATTTCTCTATCTCTTTTATACATCTAATTTTTATTGCGCAATTAAATAAAAATATAAAATATTGACTATGTAAATAAATGGACGTGAACGTGACGTTACAAAATCCCGATCATAAGTTTTAATCAGTATAATAAGGGTGCTATATTCATTTGAGATATACTATTATATGATCAACTAATTTTAAACTGCAACTTCGTTCTCTTGACCACGATGTTCAAATTTACTCTCATATCTATATCCCTATATGCTTTCTTTCTCGTGAGTGTCGTAAGAGGCGACTAAGTGAATTTAATGGTTGAGAAATGAGTAGCAGCATCCCTCTTAAAATATCACTAAAACCTAACTGCGATTGCCTTTACAATACCCCCCTAAAGGGGAGGGGTCTATATTCAGCGCGCATATATCGCACGATATGATGATCTATATAGATTTCTATTTTTATACAAATTTAAATAGAATTTATTAGATATTGCCGAATGTACGTAAGTACTATACATTAGAACAGCTAATCCAGCATCCATTTATTTTTTTATGTTGAGTTGGTAATTATCAGGGTAAGGTTTGTATGAAAGGAAATGTTTGAAAAATCGTACGGAAAATTAAAAAAAAATTGATTTAAAAATCTCCACATATAAGATGTAGATGGAAGATTTGGTTAAATTTTTTTCATTAGTACATCCGTGCGAATTCGGGGCAGGCAGCTAGTATATAATATTACTAAGAACAATACACTCATAATTTAGACACTAAACTCTTTAGGCTATATGTTTATCAAAGATCTGAATTAACATATATACATACACTAGAAATATATTACCTTGCTTTCTTAAGGTGTATTAATTTTTTTAAGTAAGTAATTTTAAAAAGGGGGATCCGTGTTTTTTATTCGTGTAATTCGTGTAACTGCTTATATCCATGATTAAATAGCAAACATTTAAATATTTTTAAAATTTTTTCCATTTATAATATCAGTGGGATTATACGATATCTTCACAAATTTTAAATCAATTTCGATTATACTAAAAAAACCTTATTCTAATATGAATAGCGATCTGGTCATCTGACCAGTAGAATGACGTTTGACATAATCGAGTTAGGATCGAATCATTTGCAATGAATAGACATTGAAAATATATGGTAACATCAATTTGACATCTATTCGACATTATTTGATCTTAATTCGATTGCATCGACAATCGACATGTAGATCGTAACCAGTATGTATAATAACTAAAATACTGTCGGATCAATATTCCTTCTATCATTCATACAACCCAAATTCTCATAGATATAAAGTAAGCTTTGTTTGTCTCCCAGATATTCTGGAAATGCCATCAAAGGCATTCCTTGTCTGGAAGCTAGTCACGTATATCCTTATTGACATTTCTCATTTACTTAATAAGGGACTGTGGCAGGCATTTTGTGACCCAGAAGCATTTTATTTAGTTAACTTGTGCTTAGAAACAAGAATTATTAGTATTATATTAAAGAACATAAATTGCATTAAATACAAATTCCAAATTATGGGCATTATGACGTTTAATTTATTTAAATATATGATATTTTTAGGTAATTGCTATCCTTATGTGGTTGCTAGATATGTTTTAATAACTTTAAATTTGTATGCTATTGACAAAATAATAAATTACAACTATGCTCATATTTAACGTCTCTTCTTCTTTTTTAAGAAATATATGTCTATTTAAACAGGACAATCATCCCGTTTTAATGTATTATATTAATACAGAATTACGATACCTCATAACAAAGCTTGCGTGCATTGGTATATAAGTACCTCGCGCGTGATATCCCTGGTATTACAGGCGACAATAGCCTACGTAACCTGTTTACTATCAGACGGGCTGTACGCTTTTTTGCCACCACACTAGTATTAAAAAAAACTTGTGTAGTAATCTATGTTCTGTCTATGTAATAAATTTAATTTAATATTTTCCATCTATTTATTCGTAATTCAATACCAAATATTATAAATATGCATATCTACATTATAAGGATAAAAATCAGAAAATTTCAAAATTATAAATGTGTATATTAAGGTGTTTCTTGAAGTTTTTAATTTAGGAATATATATTACTAAACCATTTTACCTTGAGCTATTACAATATAATAGGACAACGCCGATCGCAATTAACCTAACAAGCGCTTATTGATCGCATAAATACCCTTTATCTGTTTGAACACTGTAACAATGGTTTTGTTTATCAGTCTTTGATTTTTAAAATGTTCCTAAAGCAAAGATCCTAAGCTTAAATTAAGCGAAGCGGTGGTGAAACTCGGCATTCATTTCCTTTCGTTTATTCCATTTCCTTTCCAGCCGTGTAACGCCTTCCACCTCTGAGAGTATATTGCTCATGTGGAATCCAAAGTGAACCGCTTAGCTGCCTCACAATAGAACAGGTTACCTTTTATTTATTTGAAAAAAATCAAAACTTTTATTTCCGATTACATTAGGTTCTAAATGGATACTGTTATATAAATTTATATTATATACATTTCTTTTTCCTGTTTTTCTTAATCAATAACCATATCGACATATATTAACTTGTTCTATCGAGGTATTCCCTTCCCATTACCGACACTGGTGTGCACATAATTCACATTATGTACAAACCAGTGGTATCCGTAACTACAATCAAAACTAAACCACATATTTTTTCACAGTAAAGTGATAAGTGTAAATCAAACTATATTTTTGATGTAAAATTATCAATTTCATTCCGTCGAAGTACAAAGTATACCTAATAAAGTGACGAAAATTTAATATATATAAATAAAGTGAACTAAACAAACGATAATGTGGTGAAAGAAATAGTGATAAAATGGTTTTAGCAAGAACTTTAAATACAGGACCGTTTCGTGTAAAAAGTGTGACAAATAAAACGATATGGGATGACTCATAGTGAAAAATATTATGTGCAACCCACAATCCGATCAGAAGATGATGCGAGAAATTCACGACAATGCTGGGGCAGGCGCAAGCGGCGCGATGGAGGAAAGCGAGGGCGGAGGGAGTGGGGCTGCAGAGGTCGATATGGACGAGTGTAGTTCCCTCGCGTTGCCGCCCGACCTGCCCCCCTATTCCGGCGACTACATCATCAGTGATTACATGGAACGCTTGGGTACACGACTCAACATTCTTGAAACCGAGCTTAAATATGCTTGGCGAGCACTAGATCTTCTCAGTCAGGAATATGTTAGAATGTGGGAAAGGCTGGAACGTTTAGAAGCACTGCTTGCAGATCAACAGGGTGTTATATCAACATTACTAGACTTTTATACATGTCGAACTGTTGCTTCCAGAGATCCCATGACTCGACTTGAAGTGATAAGAGAAATATTAGGCAACGGTACTGTAGAAGATGGTATCGAGGAAGGTTTAGATATAGGACGAAGTTCTGTATTATTAGATCCACAAGAAGAAATAATGGAGTCCAACGAAGCATTTTATAAAAGTTTAAATCAAGCTTATAGGGATGATCTAGTATGTGATGAAACCTCAAGACCACCTTCTCAATTAGATATGATTTGGGAAGCTCCAGAAGAAGCTGATATCGAAATCATACCTTCTAATTCTAGGCAAATATACAGTGCAAATGATTATAAAGATTATTGTGGTATACAAGGAGGTCCTGGCATTAGCGAAAGAGATTTAGTACATTTGTCTACATTAAGTACAATAGATCAAATCACTGTAGATAAATTACATGAATTAGATAGGTTGACAACACAATTACATAAAGATTCGAGAGAGTTAAAAGACTTGAAAACCAGACTTCTTAGTCCAGAAACAAAAATTGCATCAAAACATGATAGAGACATAGAAGCTAAAACACTTGTAGAAGACGGAAATATTATAAACGAACAATTAAAAAGTGTTTATTCTGGAGGAGAAAATTGGGGTATCAATGATATGATGAAAAGTTTTGATGACTTTATGTTGACTATGCCTAAGGATTCTATTGTGAGAGATAAATCTCCATCTAGATTATCTTTAACTGAAAATACAGTAACAGAAAGAACAATCGATTATCTGCCACCAACTTTGTCACCTCGTCGCAAATTTGTTCCAGAAAGGACAACCACAGAACCATATACGACAGTTACTGGTCGCTTAGCATATAGTTCAGCAGTGGCAAATGCTGAAATAAATGCAGCTAAAGCTTCTAAATCTCCAAGTGCAATTTCGAGAGATCGTTTTGAATATAGTTCATCTTACCAGGTTACTGATAATAGACCAAATTATTATTCCAGTAAAAGTATATCTCAGCAATTAAACGATATGTATAAAACAGATACAGAACAACATTCCCCTTTGTCAATCCATGAAATTTATAATGGGTCTACTAGTAACAGCCGACTTGATATGAATTACGAAGAAAATAGACTACACAAATCTCCTAGTCCTCCGCCTCCAGCACCACCTAATGGAGGCGAATTATTTTCTATTGAAAATAACAACGAAACAGCACCTAGTCATCATTCTATGCTTTCTACTCTTCCAGCAGATAATATACGTTTAAGTCCAAGATCCCCTAAATCACCAAAAACGTCGCCAAAACACGTTAAAAGAGACAACACTAATATTGTAGCTGCTAAATCTGATTCTGGATTATCATCAATGAGTGGGTGGTCAAGTCTAGAAAAAAGTCCTGGATCACCAAAAATGGGACGAATTTCTCACGGAAGCCATGATTCTCATAAAATAAGAATCTCATCTCCACAATCAATACAAAGAATGTCCTATGAAATAGACTCTAAGCCCTATTTAGAAACCCTAGTAGACTCATACGTATATGAAGGAAAAAATTTAAAAAGTGATTATAATTTACGTAAAATGGATTTACCCAAAGATGTATGTAGTTCGCGAGACTTGAGTAATTTACAGGAAAAAATTGACAGTGCTTTTTTAAAAAGTGACATACCCTATTCTATTACTGGTCAAAATACACAAGTCAGTAATATGAGTGAATATTATTATGGGAATGAAGCACCTTCAATATATTCTGTGGCAGGTAATAGGCAGCCAATATTTACTACTGTTTATAGTACTCCAAGAGGTATGTTATCTGAAGATAGAAATTTTTCCGAATTATTAGATAGAAATGAAATTACTGAATCTACTACAAGACCTGTAGTAGATTCATATCCTCCAGAGCCTAGTTATCATGCGCAAACTGTTGTAATGTCTGCAGCTAATGCCAATAAAAGATCTCTCACAAGAGCTAATACAATGGGTCCAAATGATCCCAATTTTTATCAAAACGGTTACAAACAGCCTGGACATCGTATTGGTTATCCGCCAAGTAATCTAACAGATGCTTTATCTTATTATCCAACATCAACCAGATATGATTCACCAAAACGAACGTCACTAGAAGATCAACTGTCATGGCAAGGCGGTAGTAGATCTCCTACAAGTTCAATGGAAACATCTAGTTTGAAATCACACTCTTTAAATATCTCAGAAAGAAAACAATTTCAAAATCAATTACAACAAGAATACTTTAAACAACAACAATATGATCAAAGAAATGGTAATATTATGTATGAAAATCAAGGTTATGACAAACAAATAATTGCAGACCACTCCAAAATTAGAAAAGATCAATATGTAGATTCAAGTGGCGTGTTGGTATCAGAATCAGGATACTTGTCTATATCTACAAATTTAAAAAGTAAGCCTCAAGAAAAACAACCAAAAAAGCCAAAACGAACATCATCTCTTAAGTCAGCAATGTCATCTGTAAGTCATTGGTTACCAGATTTACATTTACCTAAAAAACATAGATCACATTCCTTACCATCGGGCGTTGATAATGTGGAACAGCCACAACAAGAAAAGTCATTAAAAGAAAGAATATTATCTGCTCAACGAAGAAAAAAGAAATATCATTTAGTAGCATCTATGTCTGGTTTATTACAAAAAGCTAGACGAAAAAACCAAGCTAGTCATCAATCGTTGTCAGATCCTGAAACATCAGAAACTGAGTGGTCGGGTGGTCGATCTAGTGCCCAATCTGAAGATAGTGATAGTGTATTTTCCGACTCAGCTCACGAAAATAATATGTTTGCTAAAGTCGCCACTAAACCTAAACAAAGAAAGGTAAACAATCAAGATATTGTGGAACAACAGCAAATCATCCAAGAATTACAACAACAAGGAATTGATTATCATGAAGACAGTGAGTGTATAGTTGAAGAAAGTGAAAAATTACCTGTTAGTAATGTTATACCACGAGACAAAAGTGATGATATAGATTTTCATTTTGCTCGTGTGAGTCAAATGAATAAAAATAATATATCAGAATTAGAAAAGTTAGATATTGATACTGATATATCTAATGTCGATTTGTTTGAAGAGGAAGAAAAAGAAGACAATCAGTCACCTGCATCACTTTTTGCTACAGTAGGTGATGTTAAAAAGGCAGCTGGTACATCAGAAGAAGGCCTTAGTGAACTTAATAAATCTTATAGTGGGAGTTCACAAGAATTTGCAGTTTCTCGAGCACTGGGCAAATACAGACTTCGTAAATCAACATCTATTTCAGATGAACATGTGGACGATAATATTTCTCCTCCAAAGCCTGAAACAGAAGAAGAGGTAACTGAAGAATACACGAATCAAAAAGAAAAGAGAATTCGAAAGCAAAGTACCCCTGAAATAATAAGCACTACAGTATCAGAAGAGACTCCTACTTATCCTGAACGAAGTCCATCTATTCAAAGTACTCGTGGAGTTCCAAATAAATTCCAACCTCGTCACCAACAAAGTTTAGAAATACCAAATAAACACGATGATGACGATAGCAAAAGTACTCATTCCTGGCGAAGTGGTTCTCGAGTATCTTCAAGAAGGCAAAGTACTGAAGACAGTATTGATTCTGAAGATGAATGGTACTGCTATGAACTAAGAAAATTAGAAGAAATGGAACATCAATCGCAGTTAGAAGCAGAACGACAGCAAACATTAACCGAAGAACCTGAATTTGAAGAATCTTTATTAGAAGAAGAAAATGAGAATTTAAAAGAAAAAATGTCCTTCGTTTTAAGAGAATTAAAACTAAAAACTGCATCTGTTAAGATAAAATATGACGAAACTCCAGTTAAAGAAACTTGGAAAGATATTACTACATTTCCTGTCATTGAAGAGAAGCGAGATGAAGGTGGAGTCTCTGATAGAGAAACAGATGATGACAAATCATTTGCGGATTCAGGTTCAGGGGAAACTTCTGGGCCAGATAGCCCTGTACAGAGTGGCGATGAGCTTGATGATGATTATGATATGCCACAAATTCATGAAGAACCTACTCCAGTTCAACGGCCACCACCACAACAAGATGCTCCAGCTGGAAGTAAGTGGAAGTTACTGAAGGCATTAAAGGATAGAAAAGCTGAAGAAAAAACTTCAGAAACACCTGCAGCTACAACGCCCTCTACTGATAAGGATAAAGTCAGCGCCGGTGTAAGTTATCTTATGCAAAAGTTTCATGAAATTAGAGTTAAGAGTTAATTAAATATAAGTATAATTGATATAGGAAAATGTCACCGAAAACTTTCATATCAATATGAAAGTTAAAACTAATAGTTAGACTGATGATATATTCAATGCCATTGCAAAAATTGTTTAACCTGCTTTATATTTCCTATCTACATAGGATATCCATACTGATAGTCGTAGATGTGTAATTTGTAATCATTATATTAGAAGTCCATCTCTATAATTAGGTATATGATAATAATAACTGAAATCATGATTTAAATAAAGTTGTTGTAATATTAATTACAACAAATATATATATAAATTTTGTTATATCATACTCATTTACATCACGTAAAGTTATTGCGGTTGTGAACAAGTAATTAAAGTAATACTTCAACTTTTTTTTTAACATCCAAATTCAAAGTATTAAAAAATATTGTAGGATGCTCCAATAAACAAATTTATACTATTATAATTCTTTGTCCTATATATTATTGAGGCAATAATTAGGTATAAATCAGCGCAATAGATATTAAGGTCTTTCTATATACGTATATGGGGTTTTTATATAATGCTTAAAAGTATTCAAGCAAAATAATAATACACGATTTTTAAAACGTTTTGAAATGCTTACGATATTTATACTGTTATAAGAAATAATCGTTACATGATAATAAATCAGTATTATGCATATGTTATTTAATTATTATTCTTTAAACAGAAGTTATCACTAGCTACTCGTATTTGCCTAATAGTTTTTCATTCGCCAGTTCTAAAATAATATTGGGAACATTAACGTACAAATAATCACTCATTGTCATATCATCTCATATCAAATATAGATATTTTGTTTTTATTTAGAATATCACTCAAATCAAATCAAGAGATTATCATAAATTAACTATATGAATTAATATGTTCTTAAAGATGCCTATTCAATATTGCTTATATATTTTATGGGAGGATTTATCACTTCATTTCAGTAGAAAAAATGTTTCTTATTGAAAGTAAAAGAAAACTTATGTTACAGCATTTCTTATTACTCATTACTTCCAGACAAACGAAAATATCTAGTTATTTTTTATAATTTACATTAAGATAGTTATGTCTTCGTAGAGGTTTGCTTATATATGAATTATAATGATGCTGATCACGTTATGAATGTATTTTAACTAGATCACACAGCCTAGGATAACGTATAGCTATTTACACTTACATTAATAAAAGATAGCTGGCACTTTGTGTATTAACGTAAATATTTAGTGGAAGGTTTTAGATGTTGAACGGTATTAAATAGCATAAAGTATTGTATGGGCAGATCGATTTGCAAATTTATATATAAAAAAGAGTATAGTCATTTCCGAAATATCAAATATTCACTATCATGAAACTATTATGCTTCAATCAGAACAGAATGGTAGTAAAATATGTGTTAATTTCACTTCACTGACCTACATTCTGCCCGCAATATTATAATTGTTAAAATTATTAGATACACGATATGTATTATTAATTCTCCATTAATTAAGTGTTATTTTGCTTCGATTACTTTTTCATGGTAACATGTTGCTAACTTTTTAATTTTAGATTCAAAATTTACTATCCTATGTACCTACATATATAAATTACAATAGCTTACCAAATGTTTCCATACACTCACAGTAAATTATTCGAAATGCTATGAAATATTAATCGAAGTAATAAAGTATACTGTTAATATTGTTATGCAATATGTAATATTATTTATTCAATTTTTTTTTTCATTAAATTGTTATTGTTTTTATTTTTTTTTTTTTTTTTTTTAATAAAATTTTTTTTGTTTGTTTTTAGAATGGCTCCGGCGGATTTAACGATCAAGGTGGCCGCGGAAACGGGTAAGTGACATATTTCAAATGGAAAAGTATTATTTCGAAAAGGTTTTCATTAGTGATTGTCATTTATATAATGCTTTTTTATATTTTATAATAAGTCTTTTTTGAGTTGATAATAAAATAGAAAAAAAATCACAAATGCTGCGAGTTCCATTTGGGTGATTTAAAATAATGGTAGTACATTTAATTTTGTTGTATTCTGAGAACATTCTGTGACCATGGTGCTATTCATATTTGAGTGATTATCACTTACCATCAGATGGACCATCAGTTCACTTTATTTAATATTATGTAATCAAGAATTTTAAACTTTGAATAAAATTAAAAAACATGGTCATAAAATGTTTGAATTGTTTTTAAATTTAGAAAGCATAATTATTTGTATTGTGTTCGTAAATGCAATTTTAATATAAAAAAAATTATAATACTATTTTTAGACATCCAGGCGATAACCCGTTCTACAGTAATATCGACAGTATGCCAGATATCCGACCGAGACGAAAATCCATACCCCTTGTTTCTGAACTTGTAAGTATACTTCACTTAAGACTAATATAATAGATATCTCTTATTATTACAAATCCGATGGAAGTAATCTATATTTTTCTTAACCGGTTTCAAGCCACTGTGTTTCAAATTTGAATGACATTGAATTTATTTCTTTCACCAGAATATGAGATGCAGCAATCAATAAATAATAAATTTTGTTTTAAAAGAACATTAACTGGTACCATAGTATCCGTAGTTTATTAATTTTTAATCTATTTTCACCAAATTATATAATATTTTAAATTAATTAATTAATTATAAGCTGTATTAATTAAAAATTTTATTAATTTTTCTTTTTGTTACTTTATAGTTCTAAAATGAACAATAAATTGAACAAAATGCATTTCGTAAATTATAGATCGAGATTTTTCTGGTGAAGAAAATTTGTAGACTTTTCGAGGATTTTTGATATTTTGATGGTGTTTTGAAACTGGTCGTAAATGTATAAAGCTCGCATCGACGTACGCTTCCTGAGGCTTAGTAATACTAGGCGCGTAATCAATGTTTTCTTCTATAAAAAATATTTTCACCCTGAGTGTTTTGAACAATTTATGGAGAGTTTATGGAACTGCTTTGTAATCTATTTCTTCTTTAGATAATCATTATTTAACAATGATATACGTCTTACGATTCGAGGTTTATGTTTTTCTATGTTGATGTTTATATATTTGTCATTATTTTATTAAATACCAAAACAGTAATAACATTGTTGTCTCCAATGATTGTTCAAATTAAATAATAATAAAAAAAGTATTTTCGAAAGGCCTATGTCCCTTCTCTCTTCTTTGATGTCTCTATGTTACCTGTAAGTTTATGTGTCTCCTTTCTAACTTTCACTATTTAGATGGCCTAAATTTAGATGATATACCAATCCCAACTAACCTCAATCGTGTAAAAGATAAATTAGGGGTCACCAGCAGCTATAGAGGAACCATAGACACCAAATGAAAATTCCTAATTAAAATTAATAATGTCATTGCATTTTACCCCTCACCACGGACCTGCAGGTTCTCAAGGTATTTCTTTCCCAATAACACTATCATTTCTATGCATGCAGTTCTTATTGGCAGTGAAAAGGGAAATTGTATAACCGCAAAGACTGCTTTGGATAATATTTTCTCTTTTCACATTTATTGTATATAGTATGCTTGCAATATTTATATTTAAATATTAAATTAACTCGGCCACTGCATGAATCTGCTTTGTCATGAAATTTTTTAATGGTCACATATTTTGAATTATATTGAATGTAATTTATTCACTACCAAATAAATTGATTATAGTTATGTACGTATATTATGAAGGAATAAAATAACTGATATTAAAAATTCCGTTCAGAGTATGCACGTGCTTGCTATTAAATATTCATTCGACGAGGCTTTAATATCACAGTATCATTTTAATGAATGGAAAGGTTTTATAAACATTACAAAATATTATAACAAACATTGATTCACTTTTTCAATGTTGTGCCTTTGTTTCTATACATTTACACATATTTTTTTTATTTTACCGCACACTTGAAATTTGCTGCAACATTTATTTTTTAATTGGCATATTTTATCAATACATTGTACATACAAATGGTTGGAGGTACATATTGTTTTTAGAAATAAGAGTAGTATTGAATTTCATCAAAGTTCGTAGAATAATTTCTTGTAAATTTAAAACAAGCTTGAACAACAGCTTTAAAGCATGAGTAGATTGAATTGAAACTACTGTAATACAATCAAAATAAGTGATAATTTATTAGAAGTGTATCTGATAGTATTTTCTCGAAGACTATGTAGGTAGGCATACACAATCAGCTTTTCTATAGTCAGACTTTCAATTTTAATACTCAATATTTTAATACATACATGCCGAGCTTGCCTTTTTAAATTAAAGTTCATTACTCTCTACTCATTTATGTTTTGAATGTTTAGACCATGGCTGCTACAAAAAGGAATGCAGGTTTGACGTCGGCTGTCCATCGAGCAACACTGAATGATGAAGAATTGGTAAGTTCATTAATTTTACATTGTAAATGAATTTATATCACTAAAATAATCATAATTTTATTTTTATTCATTTTATCAAAGTGTCACATTAATAAAACAAATATTTACCTCGGACATTGTTAAATAAAGTTGTTATTTTATTTTATATTTAATATTAATTATTATAATTGGTTTCAAGCTGATCTTCATATTAATTGGAATTTATGAAAACAAGGTAGATTTATATTTTATTTACTATTCTAAAGACCAAGTGTGTTACAGAAAATGCACGTGTACAAGAAGACTTTGCAAGCACTCATTTATCCAATTTCTTCAACAACCCCACATAACTTCGTATTATGGACGGCAACATCCCCAACCTACTGTTATGAGTGTGAAGGCCTCTTATGGGGTATAGCCCGACAAGGAGTCAGGTGTACGGAATGCGGCGTCAAATGTCACGAAAAGTGCAAAGATTTGCTCAACGCCGACTGCCTACAGAGTAAGTGGAGCTTTGTGATGTTTTCCCTTATCTTGATGTATATATACTGAAGATTGTTTTCAAAATAATTTAAACTTGTTTTTTACAAAAATAATCTATCATAAAATTAGATTGAAACCAATCTTCGCAAAACACTAATTATTGGATGTTATTTGATGAAACATATTTAAATTAAATAATAGAATGAAACTTAATAGAATTTTTAACATTAGTAAATAAATATTCAGTATTGGTTACAGTTACTAAAAAAATAAATGATAATTACTTTCATTCTATATATATATATATATATATATATATATATATATATATATATATATATATATATATATCTACTTTGTAAAGAAAAATACGAGGTGTAGGTAAGTTGAAAGCACAAAACTGTAAAATAAATCACGCATAAGACCGTTACTTTATAGGGATCTGAAATTATTTTAAAAAAACTGTATGTTGAATATTTCAAGTGGTTGCGAAGCACAGTTCCCTTCTTATTAATCTCAAGTAGATTCGAGAAGCACTTGACGGGTCAGTCATTAGTTCATAGACAACATCTTGAACACACACCGTCAAAGTGTTAAATCAATATTTAATTTAAAGTTAAAAGGAATTTCGATAAAGGAAAATTGTATTAACTCTTTAATGTAAAAAAAAAAAAGTTTGAATTGTATATAAAAACAGAGTTATTAATATAACACTGTAGCTAATATTGGATATCAAGTTAGCTGATTGCAATATATCAATATTATCACGCACGTATTTCCTCGTGGAAGTCGTTTATATGATGTTTTATTGGTTCGTATTTTGCAAGATATGAAATACATACATGTTTATTCTGTTAAATACCAAACTTATATATAATTAACTGGAATAGGTCAACAAACTTAAAGCATTTAAAAAGTACTTTGTACTTATCTGTTAATACTATAGTATTTGTATCATATATATCATGTAGTTGTAACTTAATAATGTAATAAAATTGTGACTAAAAGAAGTCAGTACATAAAAAATATTAAAAAACAAAAAAATAGTATCTCTTTAAAGTGACGTTCTTTTAATTGTGTAATATTTAAATATAGTTTATATTCACACATTTTAATAGACATCGTTATCTAGGTGATGATAAAGGTAAAACTGTTAACGTCAAAGGTGTCGTCGTAGCCAACTTTATGTCCTACATTAGTTCGATTTATGTGCATGAGTAAATTTTTGCATGCGTCGATCCTACATCATAGGTTGATATTTTTCACGTATTAACACAATCAGGATCATTGACAATATCAATTAATGACACTGATAGTGGCATCATGAGGATTCACGTAATTATTTAATGAAATTATCTTAAATGTGTTTCTTTTTATTGATGTGGTCTCTTTCTTAACTGTGGTGTTTCTTTTCTTTATTTTTTCTTCATATTTTATTGACCTCATATAATAAATTAGCATGACTTTTTGTCCCTTTTAATCAATAATTTGTCCATTGCTTTATCGGTATGCATGGCTGTTGATTTACAATTATACATACCTACATTATATTTTCTAAATTTTATGGTTCCCATTATAATATACGGTTTTAGAATGACATTGCACGATTCATATTATGTGAGCAGTCACATTTAGGCAATTAACGTAATAACTTCATTAATTATCAAAATTTAGACATCGACTGCACGCTATTTTCATTTCTAGTCTACACTTTGAAGACAAACAGTATTGTATCTTTAATTAAATTTTTATATATTATATTTTAAAAATTATTATACTATTTCATAATGTTAGATCGTAATAATATATGTTATATTTATTTTTACAAAATTTATTTTATGTAGGTATCGTAGTTATTTTCTAAATGTTCCTTAAGAATATATTTTTCATTTAAATCAATACGATACCTATATTATAAAATTATTAAATTTTTTGTTATATTTTTAGGTACTTTTTTGTTGTTGTACGAGTATATATTATTTACTTTTATTTAAGGTATTGCTATATTTTTTATGTGCAAGATTTTCTAAGTACCAACGTTTTCAAAGTGTTGACTAAATATATAGAGTAGATAGGGTATTCGGTACTGTCATCCGTCCATTTCTTTCGGGTTGCCCCGCCCAGCGCCGAAACTTGTTAAAGCCCTTGTTATACTATATTACTTAAGTTATACTTTTCTATAACCTACTTTACATTCTACACTGTCTTACACACCGCTCTTCTAAATGATTGATATAGAAGCTTCAAATACACATGTGTTCAAATAAATTCGACAAAATCTCACATGTTGTAAAAATGTGCCTGTTAGCGATGTGTGCACGCTATCCAATGTCTGTCCACTTCGATATTATATGTGGTCCTTTAGTTTACTTTATATTTAATATTACTTTTTATAGACTTCCACATTTCTGTGTTTTATTTTCACTATCTTTATGTTGTTTATTCTGAATCCCTAAAGAAAGTGTGATCGACGTAAATGAAATAAAGAAATATAATAATGAGAATAAAATGCGATGAAAATATTTGTGTTACTAACAAACAATACCTACTAATACATACAATAAATACAAAGGGTATTTAACAATACAATCCTAGCATTTCAAACAGTGACTTATTGGTATAAAGAAGTATTAATGATCCCAAAATTTAGTTACATTTTTTATTTGATGGGATTGTATTCAATTTACTCTATAGGCGCCGTGCTCAGGTCCGCTCCGGCTAGCGCCGCTCGAGGTCACCAACTTGATCAGATCTGACATCGGTTATATCATTGCATTTCAATACAGTCGTAACTTTGAATTTTGAGTTGGAATCTAGTCAGGTTGTACCCTGGAGTGGCCGTAGCGGTCGTGGGCGCGGGGCGGGGGGGCCGTCCCGGCGCATCCCGCGGTATCCGAGAACTACTTTGGCACCGCCTGAGCAGTGTGTTTCGCAGGGGCTGCTGAGAAGTCATCCAAACACGGCGCTGAGGACAAAGCCAACTCTATTATTACTGCCATGAAGGAAAGAATGAAGCAACGAGAACGGGACAAGCCTGAAATATTTGAACTCATCAGGTAATAATTATTCAGTAATTTAATTTTACTATACAAAACATCGGAGATTTGGATCTCAGGTACATTTAGTGTTGATTTTCCATTAATTTTTTTTTATTATTATAATCATATTACTAAAGGTATTATTATTAGGCACTCATATGACTGTGTTATCTATATTAAGCATAATCATTTATAGTTTTTTTAAGACCTGCTCAGCATTTTGGTGAGTCTTTTACTCCAATATTTAAAATAATTACTGTGCAGTTAGTAGTTTTTAAATAACCTTTCTTAACTTGAATATGAATTTGTTTTTATTTTATTAGATATAACAAATAAATGTCGATACGATTCTTTATGTTAAAAAAAAAAAACATATAGCGAAATTGCTGATAGACGTATGTATGTAACAGACGCGTGTTCAGCATCGAAGGAGAGGGGCATGGACAACACATGAGCACCGTGAAGCAATCAGTCCTCGATGGCACATCGAAATGGAGCGCCAAAATCGCCATTACAGGTTCGAAGCCGCGACGCGGCACTAACCGTTCATTCCCACAGGAGTTCCCGAGACAGCGCCGCTGGAGCCGCAACGAGCACTACACAAACACACGTGACACTAAACTTAATTCCATCTTTCGTTTCATGTGGCGGCCAGGAGGACTTTTAACGTCGATCCAGATACTCACATTGACAGTCTCGAACAAGCCGAGCAAATCACTATAGAAGGAACTTCGAAATGGTCTTGCAAGATTGCCATTACAGGTTTGCAGTGGTCTTTTGCGGCTACGAACCGCACGCTCGCAATTTTGATTCTATTAGACTGAAACTCTTCGCCTGAATTCTTTGCTACTTACTTTTTGAAATCTGCTAATCACATGACACTTTTTGAAAATATATTTTATATTAAAAATTACTTCATTCCTTTATTAAATTCATTGTACCAAAATAACGAATTTTAAATCGAAAAGTCCTACGGTGTTTTGTTTCAAGTCATGTTGTTAGCAGATGTCAAGAGACACTCTATTGCATAATATCTTACTTCAAATACTAACCCAATTGAATCACGGTCGTTAATGCACCGCCTCTAATCACTCCCATCGACAACCGTAGCCTTGTATAATCATTTACACAAAGGAAATTCCACGAATCTAACACTTCACTGGAGGAATACAAATGTATCAATGATAAAATTCTGCTCACGCACACAATTTTTTTATCCCTCGAACACCAAATAACACAAACTTGTGTCACATTTATTTAATGATGATTGCAAAACTACATGGAGTCAGCAGCACGTCTGCTAATTTAACATTAATTGCATGGGTTTCACAATTTAACAACAAATCACGTGATATTTTTTTCAGAACTATGGAGATCTGCATGATGAAAATGATTTGATTAAATTGTATAGAAACAATGAAACGCATGCAGAATGAAATATCAAAATGCCTTGATATTATGATAACTAGGAACTTACAACTGTACTTAATATTTTCTGATTCGTGAAAATTCCAATACCATTAGATCGATACCCGTGCATATCTTTACACTTCTTCTTTGAAACTTTCTTCTTGGTCGAAGTTTGCATTAGATACTCCGATAATGTAGGCGCTATGTTCAACTTGTTTTAGAAATCGATTTTGGGCATAGGTAGTAAAAGTTTGGTAGTTTTGCAGCTAGTGTCTTCTTTTATGACCCCCAGCCCGTTTTGACCACAGTACACCCTGTTTATAGAGATTCAAGGTATTATTATGACTAATGCTTTCCTTGGTAAGTTTTCTAAATATAGGTAAACAGGTAAAACAAATTTTTAATTTTATAATGTATTCTAGATATAAGTAAAGGTTTATTCAGAAGATGCGTATAGCGTTAAACATATGAGACTACCGAATATTTGAACACGTGAAAGTCTTCGTTATATATGATCATAAAATAATCGTAAAAAGAATGTGTTACTCTCGGGAGATTTGCTACGAATACGTTCACCAAGATTCATTCAGCCGCACCACGGGATCGTCTAAAGAAATGGTCTTATATGTTATTATGTACCACACTACTTCTTTTACATGTACCCAATTTTATTAACATTTTTAAAGAGAAGATAGATAGAAGATACATGTCTATAAAAGTATGTAAAAATAAGATTGAAATATTTATATATATATTAGAACTTGATGTACCGCATACTAAATTGGCCCTTTGCGGGCAGTTATTTGTGCTCAGGGTTTGATCGCGAAAGACAAGAGTGGAACTTCAGATCCATACGTCACTGTACAAGTAAGCAAAGTGAAGAAAAGGACGAGGACTATGCCGCAAGAGTTGAATCCAGTGTGGAATGAAAAATTTTACTTGTGAGTACTGCATTTACATTACATTTTCTAAATGCTTGTAAACACTGAGGCCAATTTTGAAACACTATTTTCTACTGCGATTTAAAAAAATAACTGTTTTGATTTTAAAATATTATAATATTATACCAATAGTCGATTAAAAAATTATCTTTTGTGTAATTAAGTTATATTATGGCAAGACAAAGAAAGAGGCTTATTTTTACAAAATGCCGTTCTACTTTTCAAATTCATAATTAAATTTTATAATTTCACATGTTCTGGCTTTTGAGTACTTGGCGTTGGTACAAATGGGACCTTATTTATTGTAAGAAAAATAAAATATTATTTTATCAAAAATACATCAGCCTTTTCTTTAGTTTGCCATTTGAAAATTAACTGCATTTCAGTGAGGAATCTGAATAAAAATTAAAGGTCTGCTAGTTGAGATAGATGTATACCAATTTTCGAATTTTTTGTTTACCTATTATACTATATCTGTATATTAAATTGTCTTTTTAAGTTTATCTGTTTATGCAAAAAAGTTGTATTTTCAAATAAAGGAATTTGACCAACGCTAAATGGAAGCATGAAATAGCAAAGTTAACACAAATGTAATTGCGAACACTAACGAGTAAAATCTAAATGGGTTCGCTTTGTATCGACCACAAGGCCGCCTGTGTTGACCAAACTAATACAATATTGTTACACATCTAGACTGAAATTTAATTTTTAAGTAATTTCCAAAACAGGAAAGTTTTCTATTTGCTTATATATTTTAATTTTGATTTTAATAATTATTTTTCCACACAATGTATAGGTACAATAGGGTTTATTATATTATATTAATATATTATGACATGTACATATATTGATCACATGTGATTGAATACCTTGCATTTTTTGGCAAAATCTTGTGGTCCGGTTAAACTCTTGCTTGTTATATTTGTTTACTTTTTCCCACCTATAAGATGCAATTTATAATAAAGACAGAGTAATAAATCACTTATGGCTACAAAAGAGGATAATAGACAAGAAAATATTATACTGCAAAGTTTTTGAATGATGGGAATTTAACGCGGTTACTTTAATGTAGATTCAGATATAAAGCTTTTGGTACATTGTGTGTTTATATTATTTATTTGCATTTTGTCTCTGCAGCGAATGTCACAATTCTTCAGACCGCATCAAAGTGAGAGTATGGGATGAAGATAACGACCTCAAATCGAAACTTCGACAAAAATTAACGAGAGAATCCGATGACTTCTTGGGACAAACCATCATTGAGGTGGGTGCTATAAAAATAAATATTTCTTTTTTATTTGACTATTGAGGCTCAAATTAGGTAGCTCTGGCGAGCTGAAGACTATATAAGCCTATCGAAGTAGTATGGCCAAACTCCTAAGTACCCTACAAGTTGACCACAGTGATCTCAAAAAAAAAAGATTTTTTATCAATTATCTATAAAAGACAAGATCTGTTTATTATTGAAATGGCAAAAAAAAAGTAAATTAAGTACTAGTTTCTGATTTTACATCAATAAAATTCACTCTAAGTTATTGCTTAAAGATTCTGTAATACAGGTAAATGTTTTCAAACAAAATAATATTTAGGTACTAATATATTTATTGTTTAACTAAAATATAATTCCAGCCAAGTTTAGTTTTATATCAACGTATCGGTGTGGTTTAGTTAATAATCACAACACAATTATTGTTACAATAAAATAAAATAAAATAAAATAAATAATAAATTGTTATTGTTAAAGTGTATAAAAGTTATTAAAGTGATTTAGTTTTATGAAATAATATTTCAATTTAGGTTTAGGAAATAGTAGCTTTCAATCTAATTTTAATTCTTTAATCTCTACATTAGGTGCGAACATTATCCGGCGAGATGGACGTGTGGTATAACTTAGAGAAGAGAACAGACAAGTCCGCTGTATCTGGGGCAATTCGTCTACACATAAACGTTGAGATCAAAGGTGAAGAGAAGGTGGCTCCATACCACGTTCAGGTTAGTGATAGTAATAATAAACTATATGGCTGTTATTATTAAATTGTAATTACATTTATTAACGGCGACTTTTATTCCAATGTTAAAGTTAATAGGTCCTTTATGTGAACGAGATATTGAATAATATTTTGAATATATCTTTTAATAAATTAATAGCTGTTAATAAAAAAGAAGCACTTATGGAACTATTACACATTAAACGACTAATTGAATGACCAATGTGCAAGGTGTTAGTCGATCATGCACGGGCTTATTAATGACTTTAGACATAGTACATATGGAAGAGCATATTCCCTTTCAAAAGGCCGGCAGCACATCTGCAATGCCGTTGGTGTTGTGGGTGACCACGGGCGGCGGTAGTCACTTACCATCAGGTGAGCCGCTTGCTTGTTTGCCCCCTGTGTTGTAAAAAAAAAAAAAATAAATATGCATAATGTTAACAGAGATGTAACTACTAAGTTCTTTGCGGGTTCTTCCCAACAGATAACAACTTTCTGAGCTCTACATATTCATAAAAAATCGATTCAAAAGTGCTTGTAAACAAGTCTTATTTAAATAAAGATAATTTGAATTTGAGAATATGCGAATAATTAATTATAAAATAGATATAGTATAAATGGCGATTTTTCCTAATAAAATATTAAAACGCAAAGATATATAAGTACTTTATATAATATTATATTTCTATGTATATCAATAGAAAGTAGAATATTTTTATTATTCTAAGTGCCCTCTGTAAGAATACTCAATCAACTATTAGTGGTGAAGGGACATATAATACGTATCTATTATCAAATTTTATTACAAGCATGATATAATTAATAAGTATAGTATTTAAAAATCTCTCTCCATTTTAAGAATTCCATATAACGTCATAGTAATTTTAAAATATATCTTTAAAAACTCTGTAAAAGTACTGAAGGTGTATTAGTAGATTTTAAAAACAGATTAAAACTTTTTAAATTCAAGATTGGGCTCTCGGAAACTTAATCCGCTTGAGGATTACCTACATGAATCTTCGTCTTATAAAATTAGAAGTTAATGGACATTTTTACTATCAACTGTAGCAAATAAAGTACTTCACGACACGATTTTTTTTTTTCGTTAAGATATAATAATAAAACAAATTGTTTGTATTTGTATAAAAGTGCTTTTAATTTGACACGATATAAGAAAATTAATACCGTCTATGTACGATTACGCACATTTTACTTTTCTATTATATTATACTGGCTTTTACTCACGACTTCGTCCCTATGACCGGGATACGAGTATGTTCATTGACCAAGATGAAAAGTAGCCTATGTTTTCTTTTTCCCTTATAGTATATATATATATATCAAATTTCGTGATTGGTTAAGATATTAAGACGCTAAAATGTAACAAACAAACAAACGGATTAAGTACGTAGTAATATTTATGGTGACAACAATAGTTTCCAAAACGATTTGTTTTCATTTCTCCATCGCGTTATCCCATATGGCAAATCAACAGGTCCACGGGTTGGCACCATGCCTTTTGGCCGCCAGCCAACAAATCCATAATGACTATGTAATATTGTAATTACTTATCAGGACGTAATATCGAGCGAATTGTCTTTTAGAACAAAGTGTTACGCCATTTCAGACTAATATAAAGGCGGTTAAACTGTTTTTAGTGAAAATCGGCTATTTTTATAAACTTTAATATTAGATTATTGTACTTAAATATTGTATGATAATAGAACATTGAAAAACTTAATAAGCAAATCTGTTTAGATATTTACGAATGATTGAGTAATAAACATCGGAAATACTTAGAGATATATCTGTCCTTTTTATGTGTTCTTTGTCATGTGGCCCCGGCAAAGAATGGACTATCCCTTTTTTTCTCGTGGGTGTCGTAAGAGGCAACTCTCTTTTCATTTAAGTTTCCTCTTGTTGGTACAACTAATTCATGCATCTTCCTCCAGCCAGCTCTATTCCAGGCCATATCTTTTATCGCCCTATACGACATGACGCCTAGTGTAAAGAGGCAACTAAGGGAACTTAATAGTCGAGGGATGGGTAACAGCGTCTCCCTTGATTCATCGCTAACTACGGCTGCCAAGTGCCTACCAATCGTGGCAACTACTGGCAAAATGATACCCCTTATGAAGAGGGCCTATGTTCAGTAGTATTATTATTATTTATTTCGTATTCCATTTCCCTTTTCCATTGTTTTGCTTATCTGTTTGTTCCATTATCCATTCCATTACCCAAAGGTTTTGAAAAGATTGCTTTCAACAATAAGAACGCCTTGTTGCATTCATACTGGTTGCCTTTATATACGATACTGTTACTAATATGTATTTAAATGTAAGCAAATATGGCATACTTTCTCTCTCTCTTTAATCTGTTTGGAAAAAAATATTTAGTTTCACTGATATAACATTGCCTGAATAGGATAATAATGATTTTGATATCAGCCTGTATCCTCCGAGCTTCTATAGCCTTCTTTCTGATTCTGTTCTCCTTGCTCTTACTTCCATTACATTCTACTGGTGTTTTCCCTTGCACTGGTTTTCAACAAAGTTTTTATTATAACTTTTAATGAAAACGACCACTAAAGTTAAATTAAATGTTAGATACATTTTTTAATGTAACTAAAGAAAAAACTGTACAATTTTTTTTTTTTATTTGAGAGAATTCTCATATAAAGCCACCATATAAAGAGCTTTTGTCCTTACATTTTGAAATGTAAACATAGTCTTATTAATATTAAAAATGTGAAAGTGTGTAAAGATTTTTGAATGTATGTGTTTAGATATTTGTGTATTTATTACTCTATTATATATACTTTAATGACTAAATTGAAATGAACGACTTTTTTATTCAACTTAGAGTGGCAAACAAGCTGACGGCCCACCTGATGGAAAGTAATAACCGTCGCTTACAGACATGAGCAGTACTATGTTTCGCTCATGATAACTCCCATGCGTTGTTATTCATGCTTGCGTGGACAAATGCCATTCGAATTTGAATGAATGTTAGTGCAAAGATGGACCATAATATATAGGACATTTTTTATCATAATTCACGCAGGCAAAGTTTTAGAAAACGTTTAGTAATAAATATGACCCTGATAAATGGACGAAATCACGTGCACAGCGATTAAAATAAAAAAAAATAAAAAATTTATACGCTCATATTTTACCTTTATAGCCTTAATTGAGATAATATATTAATATAAAATGTAAATAACAAATACATTTTTTAGATGAACTTTTGTGAGTATATAAGTGTATAAGTACACGTAAGTTTCGCCGTTTCAACATTTTTGATCGCGTAACTTCGTAAAGTTTCCGAACACCCCTCGCTAAGATCCCTCTTTTATCTTCTAATTCAAATTAAGGTAATCGTTTATAACGAGCGACTCGTGTTCTACAAACAATCGAATCTCTCCTACCTCAGAAGAGAAACAGATGCGGGCACCAAATGGGACAACTTTCTTGAATAAATGCGAAAACTTTCTTAAAACCACCAAACTATGCTAGCTAATATAAAAGTATAAATTACTCTCAATTCGCTCAGTTTCAAATATATAGTGGTCAGTGTATATGAGTAAATTAATTTTAATTAAAATTCTTGCCTTTATTATTTGCGGCGTATAAAGCTAGTCTTCATAACACTTTGCTACAAAGAATTTCAATTTAGCACGTTGTGTTAATGTTATTAAAAATATTCTAGTTTTATTTTCCGTTCACAGTAGGTATTATTTAAATTTAGTTTGTGAGAAAAATGTCTTAAGAGTGGATAAATAGATTTTTTTTATAAATGAGTAAAATGACATTGTGGAATAATCACACGGAAATTATTTTATAAAATTATAACCCTTTAAATTGTAGCTGCCTATGAATATATTTTAGTTTGGTTATTGTTTTCTATTCTCAATTTTTATATAAAAAAAAAAGTATGCATGCAAAAAATGTTATTTACTAGATTTTACCCGCGACTTCATCATCATCATATCATCCTTTAACTGTCCATTGTTGAACATAAGTCTCCTCCTTGCGGGGTTTCTCCAGTAGTTGCCACGCTTGGCAGACGGCTTTAGAAATGTTGTAAGAGGGAAGCTGCTGCCCATCTGTCGCCCTCCCCTAGTCGGTACTTATGACACCCACGGGAACAGAAGGGGTGGGCTATTCTATGCCGGAATCGTACGACCCATGTGACCTGGGACTTCATGTGAGGCTAGAATATGTTTACTGACCGGTAAAGTAACTTATATCCTTGTCCGCATATAGTAGGTATATGCTAAATTTCATAGTGCCAATCACTATGAAATTTAACATATACCTACTATAGGCATAGTGATTGGTTAAGCCGTTAAGACGCTATAAGGTAATAAATAAACAAACTTACTTTCACATTACTAATAAATAATAGTAAGGGTTACTAAGAATAATACGAGAAAAATAAGGCTATATAATCTTTATTAATTGCTCTGCAAAAAACAACATTGAAAAACTAAGACACGAATAAACACTGTCAATTTCAAAAAGAAATACTGAATACTTTTTTTTTTAATTTAAGAAGTAGTAAAGATACCGCGTAAGATATGAATTAAGAATCTCTTCTTACTTGAAGTTGTTTTAAAAATCTCATCAATATATAAAAGTTGGATAAAAATATTTTCTTTACGTTCTATTACAATGAAGTAAAAATAAGAAAGAAACGGCGAAACGGCACGCTGTGATATTCCGTCAAAACTGAAGACAAGTATGTTGATAAAACTTCCTCGCTGATAAATGCTGTGGAAAAACAACAGAAATAAGTCTCGTAGAATTTATTTGAAATATTAATGAGTTTTTTTTTATATAACTTAGAATGGCAAACAAGCTGACGGCCCACCTGATGGAAAGTGGTAACCGTCACCTACAGACGTGAGCAGTACCATGGACATAACAGAGTATACTGTTTTGCCCATGATACCCCCCATGCGTTGCCATTCCTGAAGACTCAGGTGTTATTCCTCTGTAC